CAAGTGAAGGGTTACGCTTATTGACGCGGTATGTTCGAGTTAATTACACAAGTATCATGCCCAGATTCCACATAAATATCTCAATGGATAATTTGATAAGGCATTGCATCACGGGAAATTAAAAAGAGAAGGGTTATCACAGCGTCCATCCCATGGGCGTCACTATACTACATTACTGCACGGTAACCGTGATTACTGTAATGATTCAGAGTCATACCGCCCGGCGTGGTTCTAATAAATCACACGTTTTGATATACGAGGATTCGTGTTAACAATTAAAGAATAACACCACATTATTTGTTTGCTACAAAGGTGTTTACCTAATCTCACTGTAATGTGGACAAGGTGTCTACTGCACACAGAAGAGTAAACCCAAGGTTACGAACATCCGGGCAATTGCCATATCCCACCGGAGATCCATGATGGATGATACCGAGCGAATATGGATATATATATGAGTTAGATCGCCTGGGGTACCATGATCAGCTACCGGCTCCCTGAAAACGAGATCTCTGAACATGCAATTTGTATGGCATGGTGTTAACTTTTATCTGCGAGAGCCGAATATATGAGCCATATACGTTGCGATGCCAGTAGATTATCGCTTTTCGTTGCGGAATCTCAGTATTACCCCTTATATGGCTCTGTAAATATTTATACAACTAAACAACACGCAAAGCAACACTTATTCATCGAAAATGTTTTGCCGTTTTTAATTTTTTTTTTATGTTAAACACTATTACGGTTTTTTGCTTCCTACTGCTCACTGTCCCAGACAGGCTTTTGTCGTAGACCTAGTCCCTCCCCGGTAATAATGAGCGACTCCTGAATTTCATCTATATGACACGTTTCTTCTAATCGGAACATAGTTTTTATTGAGTCATACTCTTTCTATGATCGATACTCGGCGTCTTTGTGAATTATGTCTAAAGAGTGTAGAGATATACACTGACAACTAATTCCCGGGAAATCACATCCTCTGGCTAGTTATTATCTTCTGAGATAAAATTCCCATTATTCAAACATCGATTTGTCTCCTTTCAGTCACATGTGACACGAAGGATGGTTGGCGAAGTTTTTTATGCGCTCCTTTCTTGATTTTCTTTTTTTGTGTGGATAATATTGCGTATGGATACTGAGTATTGAAGTTGTTAGATTGTGTACGAATTACCAGAAATGGGAATCCCGTCCATATCTTCAATGAAATATGTCGGAAAAAGGGAAATGTCGTGAAAATATATTACGCAATGTGATGTACACGTGTGCATTAGTGGTGACCATTAATTGTTTTCATAATTTGCATTTTCAAAATGCGGGGTGTGGAGCGTATGCTCAAGAGATGTACGGTTGTCATTTTATGAATATTAATGATCTAACTTGATCAAAAATCATATAGCCCAAAAGTCAGACAACCAAATTCCAGTTCCATTGACGGTATTTCTTTCATTCTAAAACAGACATATTTTCTAGTGGCAAGGCACACATACTTGATCCTTTCATTTTATTTATTTATTGGGGGCAAATGCTCACTAAACCACTTTGTGCTTCTGCCAAAATATTGCTTGCGATTTTCTCCAGCTGATAAAGGTATAAGTGGGTACAATTTTCCTTACTATTGCAATTATAACCCACACAGTTCTGGGTTATTAACCCACTCCAAAGCCTACACTTACCTATATAACTTGTATACGCACATTTGTTTTTATGTGGGATGTAAATTTACAACACACTGCAAAACAGCCAAATCCATCTGATGTGATTACAATTAAGAAGTAACATGCGAATCACGTTGAAAAGTACAGCGTACAATAACAGGTACAGAGCAATTAAAATATATTGTCGGAATTTCCACTGGGGTTTTATCGACAATACCTCAGAGAAATTATATGCGCTCGTACTTTAGAATGGAAATTGAATTACTAAACAAATGGTGTAGAAAAAAATAGCAATCAAATTAAATTACTTAATTTAACTATAATTTGTTACATGACAAGTATTCGCCCAATTTGTTTAAATGTCTGAATTCAACCTGTGCAAGTAAATGACTTGTATACCATGGTAGACGATTGTAGGCATTTTATTTTTCACTGTTCTTAAACTTGAAGTTCTTGCGAGTTTTTATTAGAAAGACATTTTTGCTGGATTTCAAACACGTCATTTATGTCTACGGAGGAAAAGTTGCGCGAATTCGAAACTACTGAATTGAAGGCACAATACGGACACAAAAATGAATTTCTAATAGTGTTGTTTAATATTGCACATTGCGGACCAATTCGAATATGATTTATCGTGAACTAAACACGTTAACGTTCATTTATTTCACATTATATAGTTAATATTTCGATGAAAGAATACGCACCAATACGCATACCACGCGTATCTTTTGTGCGCTGCGACAACAGCGTTTTTAGTTTATCATAAATCAGTATCCAGTATTTGTATTACTCAACATTCAATATGTCAGACATCAGTATTGAAACTCTCCTCTATGTAACTATCAGGGGTAAATCTCTCTCTCTGGGGTCCTCCACACTTGTCAGGGGGGAAACTCGTCTCGTCTCTATATCTCGTCCCCTTGAGGTACGGGATCGGGAAAGTCACTTTAACTTTACAGTCAAATAAGGCACACACAACGAAATACGTTTCAACTCTCGTCTTAGTCGATCTTTTGGAGCACTCTATAAGACACAGCGCCCTGGGGAAAAGTCCCCAAGACTCTCACAAGGCTGAACCAAGACTCGCCCAAGACTGGACTCTCGACTCTCAGACTGCCCAGGACTGCACTCTCTCTCTACTGCGTCTATCGTAGAGTATTCGCCAAGACCAACTCAAACTCTCTTTATTCATTTTCAAAACTCTAACCAATTACAAAGCAGTAAAAAGACTCTAATGCGTAAACTTCAATCATAAAGCCAATCACACTAAGTACTGAATACGTCATATCTTTTGATTAATCGTTCACTACATTAATAACTATGAAATACCAACTGTCAGAATCGCGACGGATATCTGGTAATTAGTTCCAAATCACTGAGCCAAGTTCCGTCCAAAACTTTAAATAGACCTAAACGATGACAGACATAACACAGCAATTCGCTAATAATCAGTTAATTAAGTCGGTTAACAGATACGCGAAAACAAATTCATGACATAACATCTAAATAATCCCATGTGACAAAATTCACAATATATATATATAGCAATAGTTACACGGGAACTGTTAATCGTTTTCTCACAGGAGAGTTAATATTACATTAAAGAAAAAAAAACCTTGCAAGCAGAATTTCTCTGGTCCTCAAAATTATGTTAATAATTACAGGCAAGTATCATACACTCGGAAAAGAGGGATGGACAACTACAGAATTTCTATTGTACTATGCTCTTTTGCATTGATTTAGTACATAAACAACAACACATTCTAACGCATTGTTTATTCAGAAACTTCTGGTAATCACATAATATAAGTCAAATAATCTTCAAGCACATACCAATGACTAGTACATTTACGGAGACATAGAAAACAGAAAATTGATAAATTGGGGTTACATGACATCAAAATACAATGAAGTTTGTGAAATACAGATCATCAGAGTGACTCTTTTGTTCTACAAAGATAATCTAATTAAGTGTTTTAATTATGCAAAACAACATCACACATGTTTATTCTGTCTAATCTTGTGTCTTTGTTATCCCTCTTCTCAGATGTTTCAAAAATGGTTGATTCTCAATCTGGGTTTCAGCAATTCCAATCGTGCTATACCGGTCAATTATTTTAACTAATCAACGTTTGCAAAACAACGATTCAAGGTTTTTTTAAAAATCTTTATGAAAGGCATTTGATCCTATTGATCATAGTATTCTTTTTATCCAAACCCGAATGTTACGATGTTAATACTAAAATTGTTTCACTCTTGTCTAGACGAATCTTAATTCATTATATGAACACAAAATTGGTCTTCATCAACCCGTTGAGCATTTGATTTGGATATGTTTGCATAAGGTTATTGGGAGAGGGTAGTTTGTCAGTCGATAACACATGTTCATTAATAAAAACAAAATAAAATGCAACTGTTTCTTCTCGCCCGAACCGTTGTAAACCCCAATTAATATGGATCAATAATATGCATATTCAAAATGTTACAAATCATATGTTGCACGCATGCGTGGATTTAGGGAAAGGTGGACCAGGCGCGCCTCCGATCACAAGGAGATTCAATAGCACGACCCCTTACCAAATTTCTGGTTCTGCAATTGGCACGGGATTGATATTTTACGGTGATAACACTCGCGAGATTCGAATACATGGTGATTATAATTTAATATGGATGTGGGAGTTACCACTGACCGGTAGGTGTGACTTTATCCATACTATCATGCCGATTTTATTTGCAAGTAATTTGTTAAATAATGTATTCGGAGCCTCTAATGCAAATTACACAAGTCGCAACTATCTTCTATATATAAAGTATAAATAAATAAATAAATAAATAAATAAATAAATAAATAAACAAACAAATAAATAAATAAATAAATAAATAAATAAATAAATAAATAAATAAATAAATAAATAAATAAATAAATAAATAAATAAATAAATAATTAAGGATTGATTGTATATTATATCATTTAAAAATATACATCTAAGAGATGTTTTTAATTGACGACTCTTACAAAAAAGACGTAATTACGAGAGGAATTCCCGCCTTGATAGATGACGTAGAATTCACAATCAACATAATATAGTAATGGAATTTTCTCACGTACATTGTCACTCATGGTGTCGTGTATATGGCATGTCCCACGTCCATGCTGCCAGTAACATCGTGTAATTACGTTGGCTGCTACACGCAGCGAGTGGTTACGCTATAAATAACGCATATCTCCAGGGAATGACGTGAACACATTTTGTTATAATTTATTTGCTCGACAGGGAGACGACTCAGTACTGCCGACCGGGCGGGATGAGAGCGCATGGTAGGCACATCTAGAAGATTATTAACATGTCGACCCAGTTACAGCGGCCACTTCCCGTCAACGGACCATCGACGGACCTCTTGCAAGATTACCGCTCAGCACACGAAGAGGGCATCACTCCAATGGAGGAGCCGCCCAAAGAAGTAATAATGAAAGGGGACAATCCTTGCGATGCTATCATTGGGAACTTTGCATCGTCTACTACCGTTCACGGACTACCACATATCTTGAGCTCCACCTCGCTGCGTGCCAAACTGGTCTGGGCTGCGGTGTGCCTGGTCGCAATCTGCGTGTTCGCATATCAGTCCTCCGAACTGATCCACCTGTATCTGCGATTTGAAGTCCGAATGAAAATAGAAACTGGTACTGCTGAAAGTCTATCTTTCCCGGCCGTTACGATATGCAACACAAACACGATCCGCGCATCAGAGGCCGTACGAAGTGGATTTGCCGAGGTAGTGAAAACCGATCCACAACATCCAGAAAGTATTCATCGCAAGCTGATATATAAGAGTAAGTACAACATATTACAAAATACAAAATTCAGTCTAAACACTGAGAAAACATTGTTTTACTTTCCTCTAAAATATAAGCATAATTTGCCATATAGAATTTTCTCTGTGTAGACACCCAATCACCCCCAAATGTTTAATGATCAATCCCTCCGTACTAATATTCCGACCAATTAAAATGAATAAGAACAATTATACTCTTTCAGATATACAGCAATGACGCCGTACATGGCTTATCGATTTACAAACTCATATTCATTCATTTGCATACGTTTACAATGTGTTGTTGTCATACGCGCTTATTACTATTACGTTCTTGCAACGTATGTTTTTGGCACCAGCGTTCTCGACATCACGGTGATTACAATATTCATATTATTGCATTTTAAACACTTATGTATTGAGATTAGTATATAATTAGTATCTACCCGTGACGAAATGAATTTTCACAAGTGACTATATAAATAAGACATAGGCCATGACGTCGTCTCTCTCAAGGCTAGATCTCTTGCTCTTAAAGTATTTCTATATTTGATGAAGGGAATAGGGATAACGTAAAGGTTTGACTAAGAGGGGAATTCACATCTGGGCCACTTTCCCTTAGTATTTTCGTTTAGTAATTTTCCCTTATGTTGAAGTCAACTAACCGGGGGAGCACATAGTTTGATATTATCCCCCATTCTTTCTTCACCAACGTCTCACTTATTTTACACAGCCATGAACCGTGACCGATGATTAAATAAACGTGGCCCTCTCACTATTCAAACACAATTATTGCTATTTACGAAAAATCGATATTAATATTCGCACTAGATCGAGAATTATTCGAGGTTCGTGTTATAGTCAAATAATAATTTTCGTCAATGTTTTTGTAACTCTGTGGACACAAACTGAAAAGTTACAATTTTCTGTATTCTCAATATTAAATGAGTCTTGTGATGATGAAATATGTATTTAATATTTAATATTTTATCATCTAATGGTCACTACATGTCTTGAAATATATTGTCCCCATGGCGACTAAAATACATTAGCGCACACTGTCTCTATCTACTCGTGTTAATTTAGTAGCAATCTTGTAGCAATTAATTATTTAGACCATGCATGTTCCGAATGAATAAATTTGGAATAATCATGGGTTACCATAGAAACAATGTATCCTGTTTATTGCTTGTATAAAAGTTAAAATTATAATTACTTATTGCCATCATCCGTTGTGATATAGCTCACCAACCAGGAAACAACAACTCCCAGAGCATGAAGGATTAGCGATCGACGATTTAATAGCACATCCACGGAGAGGTAGTTTTTGCGAATATCCGGTCTGTGCACACGTGTTCTGATGAACACCGCAAACCCAATTTGAAGTTTTAAAAAGCTATGACGTCATCTGACAGTTTCGGCTATATAACAAGTTGTTTGTATTTAAATTCATGCGCTTGCGCGGGACGAAATGGACATTAATATTGCAATATCAAGTACTTACGTAGCTCAGCCAGGATGACCTATGGCGATTTTAATATAGTTACTATTACCACAGGTTTACATGAAGGCAAACACCGTGGGAACTGTAATTAATAAATACGGTTGCATTATTAATATAAACAAAAATCCGACATATGTATCATCGTCAGTTGTTTTTGAGTGCCGCAATCCATCAAACTATTAACGTCAATGTATTGTATATAATACGAGTGAAGTACCTAATTGTTCCTTTATCATCACTGCTGTTTATTTCCGAGAAATAAAAGAATACAAATATATTCGTAGCGTCATCCGACTGTTTTTTTTTAAGATCTTCGGTGATAACTTTCGACGTCAGTTGTTATTTTTTAGTTTACAGTTCGGTGATTTCAAACCGTCGATTAATAGCTGCTGTAAAATATAGCATATACGTTTAAATCTCACGGGATGTGACGTCGACGACGATGGCAGTTAGTAGGCAATGAGAAGACGCGCCAGAAGCGAGGACGATGTTATCAATTCGCGTACTTCTGATTACATACATATGCCTCAGATAACAAAATAATAATAATTAAAATGCAATTGCAATTGTGTAATGCATTATATCAAATGTAGAGATAAGGGTATGTAAACTTCTTAACCATGACAATTCTATGACAATATTTTTAAGGAAGCTAGAAAAACAACAACCCTGAGACGAATTGGAATGATTTTTTTGTCTTGGTTATACTCTCTAGAAATGTAGGGTTGTATCGCGTCTGCTCGTGATCATTTAGACCTGGAGTCTATGTCACCATGGTTACATAACCTGCTAAAATTTGTTTCGCATATGTACTTAGCGACTATTATGTGAAATATGCGATATGTGAAATATACGATATGTGAAATATGAGTCGAATATATACAAATTGCAGAACATGTTAAGAAAGTTAAAATTTCAAGGAATATCAGCACGCCCGGACACTGGCGATCATTTCGGCTTCCTATTTTATTGTGTACTTGAATTTCATTTATTCACGTGTTTGAACAAGGAATCGATTCAGTTCCGAATCACCACAGACGCAGTAATTCAGAACACAAGCGAATTCAGTAGAATCACACAATATTCCCAGAAATTTTCTCATATATAGGTTTTAGGAAAGATCTCAGAGTGCATATTAATTTGTTTGTTGTCTGTGTTCATCCAGCTCCATGCATGGACGAAGATTTCTCGTGCGGTGATGGCACTTGTATAAAAAGCCACCTAGTGTGTGACGGCTACTTCCACTGCTGGGATGGTCTTAGTGACGAAGTAAACTGTACATATCGTAAGTTCTATTTGCATGTAACTGTAAAACAAGACTAAAACAAAACTTTAAGAAACAGGAAGGTGAATGTCCTACCTGGATTGAGACGCGACTGGAAATATCACTATGACGTCATGCATTACTGCACAGACACTTTGGTCGTTAGAAGACATCATTTATCGTCATTAACCCAAGAACGTCATAAATATTGTATTACCTCATGTTTCTCGTATAGCATGTCAGTAGAGAGTCCTCCGGTTGCTAAGCAACAATGCACATACGAGTGAGCACCGATCATGTAGGCGTACATGACAAACTCGCGGAGGTACTCAAATAGGAAATGTTTGCGTGATTGGTTACTTTTCCCAAATAGGAAATGTTTGCGTGATTGGTTACTTTTCCCAAATAGGAAATGTTTGCGTGATTGGTTACTTTTCCCAAATAATCACTTGCCAAGGGTCACATTTTGAGAGATTTTTTTTTATCAAATTTGAACAAATATTTACTAACATAGAGCAAAATTTTATCAACATCTCTTTTTCGTCGAGTAAATGACGTCATTTCACCCCAAAGGGCATTGTTCACCGCCGAATATTGGTTTCGGTCACTTTTCAGACCAAAATTTCTCTAGAAAAGGGTCCATGTTTTGCGGTCGGGCGGCAGACCTCCGTCATGTTTACCCCCAACCAGTGTAGTAAACAATACTTAGTGTGAGGCAAGGATGTCGAAACACAAATTGTCAACAAACATGTCTGAATTAAGAAGGGATATTCACCATATGTTTTAGAAAAAAACACACCTAATATAGACCCCACGGGCGTCGCTCTGTAGAACACTCAAATATAAGAAAGAGTCATTCCCCTAATTTTGGTCATCAATGTGTTACAATTTTTATACCGGGTTTTATATCAACTTCAGTTTTCCAACGAGCACGTTCAGGTGATGTTTTGTAGGAGTTTACGAAATGGCCGTGCAATATATTTTTTTTTTATTCATACACACTGATGAAAAAGGACAGAAAAGTGAGTTGTGACATCTTGAAACGCGTTCCAATACTTCGATCAGTGACATAACGCCCCCTAATTACAATATTACATGTGATGGTGTTCTTATGTTGTCTTTATAGAAAAATGTGGAGTCAACGAATTTAACTGTGGACAAGCAGGGCTCTACGGTGTTTGTATCCCCGAAGAACAGCGATGTGATGGAACGTACCATTGTCTTGAAGGGGAGGACGAGCAAAATTGTCGTGAGTATTATCCAATATTCGATAGAAAATTAAAAATAAGACTATTCACCATTATTATGCGTGTCACGTATCCATTTTCTAGCGGAACATCTTTTGTAGATTACGAATGTCGAACCGATTCTCTCTTTCGCACATTGTGATTTTGTATGGATCACTCATCTTCAACCTCAGCGGATATAAAATATATCGATTGCGATATGACAATTCATGAATTTGTTGAATTTTATAAACGTTCATCATCGGTCTTCATTAATATATAAGTATTAAAATGCAAAGTATTTTTATCGTGATTTGGACTTTTTTGTCAAACTGCTTCGAAATGTTTATGTGGAGGTCAGATCTTTGTGTTTATTTAGGCAGACGAGTTTTCATTCCGTTTCTGACGAACACTATAACTTCACCCGCAGCGAATATTAATGATTATATATTAATAATTGTTTCAACAACTTAAATTGTGAACACATTCTGAGGAATGTACACAACTGCATCTAACAAGTTCATTTAAAAACGATATTTTGGGCCCAGAACTTTCGCTGTGTGCGACCGCCTTACGCCGAGTGAGTGTAAACTACAGTATACTACGCAGAGTGTATTGAATCCATATTTCTTGTTACATGTTTTCAAATTATAAGTGGCAATGAATACACCACTTTGTCTGCTTTTCTAAATTGTCTATGCTATTGCGCTAGATCGTAGTGAGCATTCTGATTCACACTGAAAATAATAAAAATGGCAAAACCGTGCACCACCATTGGAATTCATCTTAGGTTAAAATGTAATCAGCTTACATCATGACAACGCATGCAAAGTATTTAGACTATTGGTT